TAATGTCTCTTTTTACGCCAGTTGTTGTGGGGCAAACCGGCAGGCTGGCAAGGCAGGGGGCCCGAGGTGCTCGGAGGCTGGGAGGCCATCGTTACCCCCTTTCTCTGTGGCTCTCTGCTGCCCTCTTGTCTCTTCCTTCTGCAGTCAGCTCGTGCTCTCTTAACTGTCCTTGTCTCCGAGTGACGCCTCCCTGTAGCCGCAGCCTCAGCCTTGGGGCTCAGCTGTGCCCACTTAGCCTACCCGCACGGCACCCCAGGTGTCCGCCATCAGGCATGCGCGTCTGAGCCACGCTCCCAAGCACCTGCTGCACCCACGGCCACAGGTGAGAGCCGCAAAGGCCAATGGTGTAAAAGCCCGGCCAATTCACTTACCTTGTTTGCTTGGGAGTGAAGGATTCCCCAGGATGTGGGACTCTGTTAAGACCCGGACAGTGCCAGCAAACTGGGACAGCTGGTCCCCTAGGTATTAAGTGACTTGTCGAAAGTCACACATATGTCAAGTGGCAGGGGGTGTACTTTAGACTCAAACTCTTGGTCTCTGCATCTAAAGGAGCTGGAGATCTTAAAACCCAGATTCCTGCCTCCGAGTTTCAGAGTGAGTGGCTTTGGACAACTCAAAATCTGCTGCTTTTTTTTCCCCCCCAAATCTGCTGCTTTTTAACATGTTCCCAGTTAATGCGGCTGGTGGAGGAACATCATGGAGAATCCCTCTTTCAGCCACCTCCCCTCTGGATGAGAAGTTCAGGATGGACTTTCCAGGTAGGACCTGCCCTCTGCCACCTCCACCGAGGAACCCCGCGAGATGACCCCAAATTTTACACTCTGAGGACACGTTCTTCCCTCAACCCTGACAAATGCTATTGAGGGAAGTGGTGTCAGGGATGCAGGCGGGAGAGGCTGTGACTGATATGGGGAGCTGGAGTCTGGCGTGTGTGAGGTACAGAGCGCATTGCATGGGCACTGTAGGTGCCACACAGGTGGAGTTGCCACAGGGGCGACTTGGTGTGAGCGTATGCTCAGCAGTTCCCATGCCTGGCCTCAGGGCATGGGGACCTGTACAGATTGGCACTGCAGCGGAATTTGCATCATGATTTCCAGCTCCATAAACCCCCCAGTCCCGCTCTCTGACTCTCCAGGATTCTCTGACCAACCAACCATTGTCCTAAAAAAAAAAAAAAAAAAAAGAGGTGAAATTCACATAACAAGGAATTCAGTGGCATTTGTACATTCATAATGTTATGGAACCACCGCCTCTGAGTTCCAAAATAAACCCAGACCCATTAAGCCGAGACTCCCCATTCTCCTGCCAACTCTGGCAACCACCAGTCTGTGTTTTGTTTCTGTGGATTTACCTACTCTGAGTCTTTCATCTAAGTGGAATCCTATATTATGTGACCTATTGGGATGAGTTTCTTTCAGTTAAAATAACATTTTCAAGGTCCATCTTCATCCCTTTTCGTGTCTGAGTCGTTTTCCCTTGTTATGTATACACCACAATTTGTTTATCTGTCCACCAGTGGACAAAATGCTGTTGTGGATTGTGTATATCAGGATTTGTTTGAAAACTTGTTTTCTGTTCTCTTGGGTACATTTCTAGGAGTGCTCTTGCTATATCACATGGTAGTCACGTTGAACGTTTTGATCACCAAACTGGTTTTCCCGACGACCTTGCCGTTTTACATACTCACTATCAAGAAAAGAAGGCTCCAGCTGGCCCATATCCTCAGCTCACCTGTTACTGTCTGTTCCTCCGAAGGGGCCTGTGAGGCGGAAGGGGCATGTGAGGCTGTGGTATCTCACAGTGGGTTTGCTTTGGATTTTCTTAATGGCTGCTGATAGTGTTTTTTGATGTGTCTGTTGACTCTTCATATATATTCTCTGGGGAACTGTTTGTTCAAGTCCTTTGCTCATTTTGAAATCATTGTAGTTTTGATTAACTCCTTTTCTGCAGTTATTAGTTGAAGCTGTTTTGTTTGTTTCTAATGGCTGCAGCTAAGACTTGTGACTGATTAGTCTGGGACTGTAGAAGGAGAAGCCTCATTTCCACCTCCAACTTACAAAACAACGGCGTGGGCTCGTGACCCCATGCACCTGGGCTCTGGTTACTAATGATAGCACCTCCCACTCGCTCACCCGCCTGATGCTGCCTCTCACCACTGCAGGAAGAGGAGGGAGGTGGGGCCACACCAAGTCCAGGTTCAAGATAATCACAAAGAAGAAACGTTTGGGGCATCGTGGGAGAGGGAGTGAACACAAGCCCAAAGTTGACAGAGGAGTGGTGAGAGGAGCCGGGGCCAGAGGTTAAGGAGGCCAATGAGGTTTGTAAATCCCTGCATTCTTCAGGGGCTAAGATTCCAGTTTGGGAGCTGCTCTAGGAAACGGTGTTGTCCAGAACTGTACCTAGAGGTAGAAGTAGGAAGCCAGAGAATGCTATGGAATGTCTCTAGTTAGGTCAGGCTCACACCTATAAAACCCAGAGGTGTGTCCAGGGCAGCTCCTAACTTTTGGCCAAGACCAGAAGGCATTGTCTGGTGGTTGCCTCCTCCTGCAGGCGCTCCAAGTCCTGAAGCTTGAATTATCACATGCATTGTCTCCAGAGAGCTGTGGGCACCTCTGAGCCTACCACAAAGCAGTCCCTAAGGGGCATAGTGTAAATATTGAGACGTTTACATTCACCCCTTTATTTTATTTTATTGAAATTTTTCTTAAGATTTATTTATGCATCCAGAACTGGGGTACAGGCCCGAGGTGTGAGAGGATTCACCAGAGGACCAGAACGGGCAGATTGACAAAGGACTGAGTGGCAGGCAGGTCAGGAGAAGTCCACCATACCGTGTGGGAAACCTGCCTGGCCAGGGATGGAACTTGTGATGCAGTGGGTGCCGCTAGCTTCGTAGTGCTTTACTTTATCCTCTTGTGCCACCAGGGGGGCCCACCTGTTGAAATTTTTGTCTCTTTCTTAATATCCATAATAGCTTAGTTGTGTACTCCATGTAGCTCATTCATGAATAAGTATGTGTAAATGCCGTGGAGGCAGATGCTTGAGTTTTTGCAGATAGAAGTTTCGTTGGGAGGGCCCATAAATTACCAAAGTGTGTAACCAAGAGAAAAACTGCCTTCTAGACCCTGTTTAGATCAACCTCTCGAGTCACGAGTCATTCTTTTTTTTTTTTTTTTTACAACAGTTTATTTTTACATCATTTTGTACATTTTTTCTCTCATCTCAATTGTAATCCCTGCGGGTTTCCCATCACCAAGTCACCCATGTGCCATCACCATACTCCTGTGCATTTCCCTCCCCCCTGCACCCCCTACCCCATTTTTGATCCCATTCCCCACTCCACCCCCACAAAATGTCTCTGGTATATGGTTGTTCATTATTTTTGTTATTTTCTCGCCTGGTCCATTATACTCCTGCTATGAGTGAAACCATCCGGTATTTTCCTTTCTCTTTCTGGCTTATCTCACTAAACATGATCTTTTCCAGCTCCATCCAAGTTGCTGCAAAAGACAGCCACAAGTCATTCTTAAGGGGACCTGTGCTCAGTTCTGGGGAGATCAGGGGAACTGTGCTCAGTCCTGGGGAGGCGTTCAGGAGAGGGCTTGCCTTGTCCTTACAGGCCCAGATCCCTGGGTTCATAGTCTCCTTCCGCTGGATGCCTGCTCTGGGTCCCTCTCCTGAGTGTGTGCTAGAGCCAGCTGGTCTGGCTTCTTTCTTCCCCCCAGGAAGCCATAAAGAGTTGGGGGCTTTCAAAGAATTAGATGGTTCCCTATCACTCGCCCCATTTCATGAAGGATTTACAGACTTTGGGCAAAATAATACTCTGGCTCAGAAGTTTGTTACATGAGGGAGAAATGGGTTCCCAGTATCAGAATCTGACTCACAGACATAAGTCAGGCCTTGTAAGTTTTCCAGAACTCACTGCAGTGATCTACTGTGAGGTGAAGAATCTTTCTGTGTCACAAATAATCATTCAGTTCCTTTGCCAGTATGTTTTAATTTTATAGACTGGGTGAAGCTTGGACTCTCACATATGTAGTTTGCGTGGCAGACTCTACCTGCAAGGTGGAGATTAGGGGCCCCTGTCTCCTGTCATGAGACAGAGGAGCAGTGGGCAAGCCAACCCCAGAAATTTGCTGCCTGGTGCTTGCAGGTGACATTGGAGAATTTTCTGGGCAGGGATCTGGGGTTTGGTCCTCCTACAACTGCCCAACTCCCCCTTTGCTGGTTAGTGGAGACAATTAAGTGTGAGTGTTCTACTTCAGAGGCAAGACACAAAAGAACTCTCCCTGCTCCATCATGTAAAGGGACTGGGGCCTCAAAAAATGTGGAAAGACTAATTAATAGCCAGACTGGGTTCAGTTCCCAGCTGTGTGACCTTAGGCAAGTTACTCAACCTCTCTGTGCCTCCATTTCTTCAATAATAAAATAGGGGTAGAACTACTCCTCAATGAAAATGTGTAAGAGCTTAAATGAGTTAATAGATGTCAGGGATTTTTGGTAGTACCTGTCACATGTAAGTGTGATGTTTGAGGGGCTGGGCAAGGTGGTGGAACTTTCTGGGTTCTGATTTGGCTGTCCTGGATTTGCCCTGGATTTCTGGAATTTATGAAAACACTGCACTAGGAGGTATACACACTTAACACTCACAATGCACTCATTTCTAGGTGCTCAAGTTCTCTCTCCATGTCTATCTCTCTGTGTGCATGTCTTTCTCTTCTCTGTCTTTTTCCAGGGAGCTCAAATCAACTTCTATCCTACACGCCTGGGTTCCAGGTTGGGAGCTGCTGGAAAATAAAAGATTCTTACCGGAGGCAGAGTCTGGCCTTCTACCTCCCTGGGGAAACTGAAACTTGCAAAGAGTGGGTAGGAAGCAACCAGCAGTGAAGTGTCAGGCATGCTCTGGTCTCTCTAGGATGGTCCTGGGTGTCTGAATGTCCCTTCAAAACAATCATTCAAGAGTCCAGCTGATTCATAATCTAGTTTAATCCTCTGGGGGCTGCATTCTGGACCGTGAGGAAGCTCCATCTGCTCCACAGGTCTGACCCAGGTGGAGGAGAGTGATCTCCTCTGACTGCTGGCCCTGGCTCCTGATGGATTCCGTCTTTCTAATAGAAAGCAGGGACCCAGGCTCCCTCCTCCATGCCAAGCTCTCTGTTGGCCACGTTTGTACACCTTGCACGTATCTTGCCAGGAACCTCTTTGGATGTTGGACCTGTGGCCCTGGCTCATGTTCCAGACAGGTGGGCAGATGGACTGACTGGGCTGGTGCAACCAAGTGTTGGCAGGGAGAGGCCTGGCCAAGCCTCAGATCCTCAGGTCCCACTGGGAAATATGCTCTTGAGCTGGAAAGGAAGGAGGCCAGAGTGTGAGGTTCTGCTGCACTTGGTCCAGAAGTAGAGAAGCCAGGCGTCACCCTTGCCCCCAGGGAACTATAGGAGGCCTCGAGGGAATGGGGAACACTGAGGGGCTAGACCGGTCGCCAGGTAGCAGCTTGGTGATAGGAGAGGGTCTTTGGAGAAATCCTTGCCAGATACCTGTCCAGGCCTGCGTCTGCACAAACTTGCTGTGTGGATCAGGGCTCGGGGACTGCAAGGCCCTGAGCAGGACAACCCCAGTGCTCAACCACCCCTGGATCTGTGACCTGCATAGCCTAGCCGCCTGGGCAGGCCAGTGGGGCGCTTAGGGACAGAGCAGGGAGGAGCTCACCAAACTGGCAGATGTAGCGGTTTCGGGTCTTACAGCGTTGGTCATTCCAGTTGAAGGCAGCGGCTGCCTGCAGTTCCACGCAGTTGCCAAACCTGCGGGTCAAGGTGGTGGGAGCTCAGGGGGAGGAATGAAATTAGGAGTCTGGAGAGGCTTAAGTCCTCCAGCCAGCACCCATGAGACGCAGGTGCCCCATCCCACATATGGGGCTTCCAGGGGCTGGGCTCACCCCCTGGCTCCATGCCTACTCCCGCCACACTGCAGCACGCCAGGGACGGCTGGGGAGGCTCACAACCCGCCACCCTGAGTAACAACCCCACCTGTGCTCTGGTGGCCCTCAGTTACACCAGTAAAAGTGGGTGGAAGCAGAGACCGGACCTGACAGGCCTGTGTCCTTCCACCCAGCAGGAGTGAAGGTGACCTGGGAGCACAACCAAGCTGACTCTGTCTGGGTGACAGGACAGGGGCCTAGGCACAGAGGTTGAGGGAGGACTGGGCAAGGGCTAGACTGAGATGGAGGCTCTGTGACCCCCTCCATCCCTGCCACTGGGCCTTGGGCATTCCTGGGCTTCAAAGACCGGGCAGGGAGACGTCACCACAAGGCCCTTGGTTTAGGCTGACTGGTGGGTGGATGTGTGCATGGATGGACGCAGCGGGTGGGGCGCTGAAGTGCATAGTTACAGGCAGAGGGCCCAGTGCAGGGGAGAGGGGAGGGACAGCTGATGATGAAGTGGCCCTGGGTCCCCGCTGGAACCCCTGGAGCCAGGGCTGTGCTTTGAGATTTGCTCTGCTCGCAATGCTGTGCTGCCCCAAGGGCTGGGCTGGTGGTGGACTAGGCAGCTGCTTCAGTAGTTTCTAAAGACTCCCATAGCAGGCCCAGCGGAGAAAGTGGGCACAGGGGAGGGAGGGCCCCTGACTCACCCCTGGTTGTCAGGTTGCCCAAAGGCAAAACTGGTGAAGGACTGTTGCTCCCCGGTGGTCCAGCGGAAGACATCCTTAGTGGTCTTGTAGGTGAGGCCTGGCCACAGCAGCCAGTGTTGTCCCCCATTGGAGACCCCTGAGCCCGGCTCAGAACCCAGCATCCCCGAGAGCCTGCTGGCTGCCAGCCCCTGCCAGCCCCTGTCAGCCCCTGTCTTTCACCTGCTTCCCACGGCTGCTCACCCTGTTGGCAGATCTTTCCCGCACCAGAAAGGGGGTCTACAATTAGACTGATTACTGGCACCACTCTGGTCTTCCGGTCCCCCCATACTCTGACCATCTGCTGGAGGTGCTCTGGGGTCCCAAGAGCAGTGGGAGATATCCTAGCCCCATACTCAGGGCAGACCCCATCCAACCAGACACTCACCGATCCAGAAGTTTCTTGTCTCAAAGTCGCTGTTGGTCACCTCGTTGGTGGTCTCCAGACGGCCCAGGTAGAAGGCAATGATGTCCTGTACTTTCTGGCTCCTGATCTGGGCTAGCACCCCGCCCTTTCCCTGTAACCCCCCACTGCGAGTCACCTGGCAGGCCCTTCTCCCGCCCCACATCCGCCCTCTCCTCAGCCCACTCTCTCAGCCTTGGGCCCAGCCTAGCCTCAGGGGGTTTTGTTTCAGCTGTACATTGTCATCATTGTATTCTAGTTGGTTGCTGATATTAATGAATCCAGAGATGCCAGTGAAAATCTGGAGTTCTGGTTCTCTTGGAAAACCTCGAAGTCTGGCTTCCCTCATCTCACATTCTTGCCTGGAAACTGATAGATGTTGCCGAGTCAGGGGTCGGGGTGCTTGGTTTCTGGGACTCAGCTGAGTAAGCGACCTTTCAGAGGCCTCTGAGCTTGTGACCCGTGCTTCGGATGAATGATGAGTGTCAACTCGGGAAGTTGAAGGAACCGCGTCTTAGTGCCAGGCCCCTCCACTAAGACCATCGCTAGACACCCTGGGGTCCCTGGGAAGGCAGGGGTCAGCCATCACCTGGCACTTCGTCTTGGCTCCGTAGTAGGTGTCTGCTTCTGAAGACACGGCGAAGCATTCTCCGTCGATCCTCAGGTCACAGGTGTGGAAGGGAAAGTGCACCTTGGCTGGGGGTGGGGGGGTCTGAGTTTGTGTGTGGGGGGACCTCAGATTTATCACCCCTTCCCCAGGCAGAGAGTTAGGCTCAAGGGTCCCCCTCCTGTGGCCACCTGCTCCAAGCTGGAGAGTGGGTGTAAAAGAAAAAAAATCCACTATTTGTGGCATTTGTGTTTCTGTGGTAGAAATATCCCCGCCCAGGCCAAGTTCAAACTACAGTCGTGATGTCACTGACCAGGGAGCTGGAAAGAGATGCACGTGGTGGGCTTCTCTTGCTGGGACAGAGCCAACCCAGCACCCCACTGAGGAGTTGGGCGGGCGGGGACCTTGGGCAGGACTCACTGGCACACTCGGCACCCTCGTAGCCGATGTTGCAGACGCAGGAGCACTCCTCCTCCCGGAACCTGCCGTGCACGCACTGGGTGCTGCAGCGCACTGCCAGAGGGCGGGAGGGGCCCTTTCAACTGCAGGCCCGGCCCTGCACCCCTCAGGCATGCGTGTGTGGGGACTGGCCAAGCATGGAAAGGTGACCCCTCCTGGGGATGGACACACAGGGTTTCCTTCACCACCAGACTTGGCATCTCTGTTTTGATCTCCATTGTCCAGAAGCAACATGGGGGTGACCTGCCCGTGATCCCAGAGCTGGGGAGGTGGGACAGTGGCACCAGAATCCACTTCCCACAACCCCAAAGCCGGGGCCACATCTGGTTCCACTCTGAGTCCCTCGCACAGCCCAGGGCCAGGCAGGCAGTCGGTTTTAGCAGTGTAAATCAGCAAGTACCTGCTCAGCACCCCCTCTTCAGCTCAGGCTCCCACAAACCCTCTCAGTGAGTGCAGTAGCCTCTGGATGTGCCCCACAAGCACACATGGGGGTGCACCCCCGCTGGGTCCTTCCTCACCCCTGGGGCTGCCTGCTCACAGCCTGGGATCTTGGGACCTAGGAGTCCAGGTGCTCCTCACCTTGGCAGTACCTGCCCGTGTAGCCGGGGGGACAGTGGCAGTGGCAGGTGCTGATGTTGAGGTGCCCATGGTTCCGGCAGCTCATGCGACATGGGTTCCTGGGGACCTCTGGCAGGAAGGGGGGCCGTCTCTGAGAGGGATCTCTGCCAGGCAGGTGCCCCTAGCTGCTAAGACTCAGGGCTCTGGGGACAGCCGTTCTCTAGGACTACCAGGTCTCATGGCCCAGGGGGGGCAGACAGTGGGGACACACTTACCGCAGAGCCCCCCTGCATGGTCCCAGGCTTTGAAGCAGCCTGAGACACTGGCCGTGCAGAGGGAACACCAGGCACCTTTCTTATAGGGGGCGATCGTCTTCCCATTCACCTCCCAGTTGCCTCTGTGAGAGAAAGCAGCAGAGGGCTAGTTCTTGGGTGGCCAGTTCCTGGCAGTTCTCCCAGGAAAGAACAGATGACAGCCAACCATACTGGGCATCCTCCACCCCGGAATCCTACCCTGAAGGGATACCAAGCACGGAAACAGGATACCAGGAAAGGGTACCCAAAGAGGAGCCACACTACGCATGCCAGAGTCTTGGGTGATGCCCACAGCGGCACCCTCTCCTGTTCTCTCTTCCACAAAGGGTGCAGATCAAGGGGTGGAGTTTTTTGGGTCGGTGGGTCTCTCACCTGGATGAAGGTGTCCCCCTCCCCTCCTGATGGCAGGGCAGCTGCCACTGTGGGGACTTACCCGGGAGAGTAGGCACAGACAAAGGCTTCCATTTCTGCCTGGACCCCAGAGCAGGGGTGGCGCCCACAGCCCAGCTGGCTTGAAGTGGCCCACACGAGCTGAGGGGACAAGCAACTCAGAGACCATATTAATCACCCCACTCCCAATGGGGCCCACGCTCAAGATGATGCCGGGGAGGGGGAGCCTGGCTTTGGCCACACGCCAGAGGGCAGAGCACCCCACCTCCCTGGGGGCCTCAGGGCAGCAGTAGGAAGTACATTTGGCCCTTGAACCAAATGGGGGCGGGGGCCTTAGGGGTACAGGCTCCCGTGCAATTGGAGGTCTGAGGGCAACTTTTGACTCCCTGTAACTTAACTACTAACAACCTACTGTTGACCAGCAGCCTTATCAATAACCTCCACGGTCAACCGGCACCTATTTTGTGCGTCCTTAGAGAAAAGAAAATGTTAAAATCACAAGGAAATGTTCACAGTGCTGTACAGATCCATGTAGGACATTTCCCTTGGCTTTCTGGAAGAAAATCCGCCTGTGAGTGGACCCGCGTGGTCTAAACCTTTCTTGTTCAACGGTCGGTTTAGTTCATACTTGAAGCTGAGAAAAGCAAAAGGAAAGGAGCACCGGAAGCAGCCACCCGGGTGGGGACAACCTGAGTTGCCCTGGGGCGCAGGCTCCCTGGCCTCACCTGGGTGTAGTGGGCACAGGTGGCATTGAGGGCACACTCGGCCGCCGCGTGGTCGAACCACTGCCCCTCCGAGAACCACAGGCCCACCACGCGGGTGAGGGCCGCGGAACCCCGGGGCAGCAGCTGCACGTTCCAGCCCACTTCCTGGGCAGCTGCGGGGCTCGGGAGCGGGGCGCCACACAGGGCCGCCCTGGCCTGAGCCCACCCGGCCAGGGTCTCACTCCAGTCCTGGGGGCGGCACAGAGACATCAGCAGCGAAATCTTGATCCAGGCTGCTTCCCCACCCCCACCCCCCTCCAAGACTTGGCGCCCCCCGGAGGTGCCAGGTCAAGCAGAGAAAAGAAGTCCAGGAGTCCTGCTTGGGCCTCTCCCTGGCCACTCTGAACTGGTCTCTCCCACTCCCCCCCTGCCAGGAGGGTCAGGCAGGACCTGCTAGGAGCTCTCCAAGGTCTTGCCCCCCTCAGCCCTGCTCAGACCACTGCCCCACTGCAGATCCAGGCCATGGGGTGGTCTTGGAGGCACATTTTCCCAATCTGGTATGTGCCCAGGGCTTTCTGTGTTTGCCGTTAGGTACAGCTGGCCGCGCTGGTTTCCACTGGTACACCAGCAGCTCTTGGCGTGTGTAGGGAAACAGGCATGACGACACCAGGGACTCAGTGCTTTGGCCTCTGTAAGCAGAGTTCTCTGGGCCACCCAGGTGCCGGCTGACCTCCCTAGCCTGCACCTCTCCTGAAACAAGGGGCACACAGTGAGCATGGCGTGTGCCAGCCCGTTGCAATGCCCTGGTCTAGCCCGCTGTGTTGTTAAATGAGGACAAGAAGGTACCTACAGGCTAAGATTGTTGTGAGGAGGAACCAGAAGCAGGGAGGAAAGTGCCAGTCCATAGCAGGCCCCGGGCAGATGGTCATCTCAGATGGGGGTGTGTGTGCACCCCCTGCAGCCCCGTGCCCCCTCACCTGCCTCACCCTCTATAGGGCAACACCTTGGAGGCCCGTGGGAGTACCCAGGGCCAGAGCTCTGTTGGGGTAGGAGAGTGGGGGGTGGTGTGGGAATGGGGTCTGGGCCTGAGGAGGGACAGAGCTGCTGAGGAACAAGGAAAGGGGGAGATACTCTCTGCCTGCCTGCCCCACCCCCACCTCCTGGGAAACTGACCCCTGGAGCTCTCAAGGTCGCAGCTAGTGCCAGCCTCAAGGAGGAGTTTATGGGAGGCAGCCATGGGGAAACCTGCCGGCCCCCAGGCTCACTCCCAGCATATCTGGGCCCCAGGATGGCGCCTCCAGCCGCCCCCCCCCCCACCAGCCCCAGGAGAGGTGGTGAGTGGGAAATCCTGCTCCTTAGCCTGGCCCCCTAGTGAATGAGCAGGGAACTGGTGGGGGGGACCCCCTTCCAGTTGTGCAAATCCACACAGACTCCTCCCCACCCTCAGGGTTCTCCCCCCCAGTCTTCTGCTGGGACTCCTTTGTGAAGCTCCTCTTTCTTGGAAGTGGGGACCCTGTTCCTCCTGTGTCTCTTGGTCTCCAGGACAACAGGATGCCAGGAAAGGCCAAAAGACTGCCATTAAAGGGTGCGCTTCCTGCACCCTGGGGGCCCCTCAAAACCCAGACAGGGTCCCCCCTGTGGACAGGTCACAGGCCGCCCCTCCAACCCTACCCAGGTGAGAGGGCCTCTGGAGTGCCCTGCTGGGATGCTCTTGGGGAGCCCAGGTTGGGGGTACTCACCATTCTCTGCATGTTGGCCGCAGCGGGGTGGACCTGGCTGCGCAGGCGGTTGTGGAGGGAGAGGAGCAGGAAACTCTCCTTCCTGCTCAGGGCTGGGGCAGGGGGCAAGGTCAGACCTGCCCTAGGTGAAGGAAGGGGTGGGCGCCCCATGGCAAGGCGGGAGTGCCACCCCCACCCCACCAGGGGGAAATAAGACTTAGGTGGGAGGGGTGTGGAGGAGGGCCAGGAGCAGAGCTTTGGGGAGGCTGGGAGAGACGGAGGGGTGTGAGGAGCACGAGGACTGAGAGCTGGGGCGGAGGGAATAGCCCCTGGGGACCCCTCAAGGCCGCTGAGTCTCACATGGGCTGCCCTAGTATTCCTCCTTGACCCTAAACCTGGGCTCACTCCCCTTCTTTATTCTTCTTCCCCCATCTGTCTGTGGGCCCTGGACTGTCCGGAGGATCCCTCTCATTATTTTTTTGGGTCCCTCTTTAAATTCCGGCAGTACGCCGGGCTCAGGCCTGGGAGCTGGCTTGCAGAAACCCCTGGGGACCCCTCTCCTGAGCTCAGATCTACTCCACCTCTCAGGGGGCCCCTTACCTCTGGGCATCGGAGCCGCCTCCTCCTGCAGCTGGGGCGCTGGCCTCTCTGCCCAGGCCATGCCAAGGAGAGCCAGGAGCACAAGAAAGAGACCAGGCCATCGGCCCCCCAAGCCTGCTGAGGGCTCTGGCTGCAGCATGGGCTTGTTGGGGCTGGGGTGCAGCCTGGGTTAGCTGTCCAGCTCACTTTCCAGGCTGGAGGGAGCTACCCACAGCCTCTGAGGAGTAGGCTGAGCTGGCAGACAAAAGGGGGAGGCTGGTGAGTAATAGGTGTGTCCAAACAGCCTCCCATCGGCGCTGGCATGAAAAGACAGCTCCAGTCCAGGGGCTCCCTCCCTCCTCTGCGCCGCCCTGGCCTGCCCACCCGCCCGCCCGCCGACAGTGGACCCAGCGTGTGCACTGACCCTGTGTCCCCTGCTAATCATTGCAGGATTATTAGCGCCCTCGGGGAGTCCTTGGAGACCCTGTTGATTGGCCAGCAGACATTCCAGGGCTGCGGATTAGTGACCAATGGCTGCGCCCTGGCTAGGACGGTGTCCTGCAAGCCTAAGGGCAGCGTCCACTCTGAGCCCCAGGTCTGACTTAGAGGCTAGCGCTGAGGCCCTTCGCCTTGCAGGCAGGCAGGAGGGAACTGGGCAAAACTCCAGGGAGTTCTGTTTTTCCTTGGGAAGCTTGTCCCAGCCCCGGTCATGAATTAAACATAGGCTGGCGTAACTGCACGCCAGAGTGGTGCTGGCAGTGTGAGGGGGCACTGGGGCAGTGGGCTTGCTGGGAGTGGGCTGGGGCTGCCCTTGTGGGAGGGACAGGGTGCCTTCGGACAGTGTCCAGCCTGGTGCCGTCCCCCGCCCCGGCATGTGACTGTAGGCCACGAGGGGCCAGGCAGGGAGCACGTGCTGTTGGGAACAGTCCACCTCTAACTGGACAAGCATGTGTCTGGAGGGAGCGCATTGCACCTGCAGTTCTGTGCTGCTCTGGGGGCCTGGCTTCAGCTTACATACCCCTCCCCCCAGCATAAGTCATGGATCTGCACCAAGGCCCACTTTTCTTAGAAAATAAAATGCTGCCCTGCAGGTCACAGCCTAATGCCTACATTCTCCTCGGGGCAGAGCAAAGGACAGCTTTGCAAACCAACTCTTTTCCTCCTGCATGTTGTGTGACCTCTGACTCCTGGACCAGCCCCCTTCAGAGCCAGATGTTAAGTCCCTGAGCAGCAGGTGGGCTGGGTTTCCCAGGGAAACATTGAAGGAAGCTTTTAGTTGGCCTGCGGCTGCATGTTCACCACAATTGCCAGGGCCTTGGGAGTTTCAGATTCCTCAAAAGGGGTGATCAGACAGCCTCATACTCAGCCCTCTGTAGGACC